GAGGAGAGCACTGTAGTTTTGTGTCTATAACAGACGCTCCTTACGTGATTAATGTGTCTATGTTCAGAGCTGAATTCCTAACACTTAAGGAAGCACAGTTACAGATTGGGAAGACGGCAGAGAAGTCAGACTTTGACCTGTTTATGCTGTGCGTTGGGTGTCTGCAGGCCCAAGTGAAAGGCCCACGCTTTCCTAGCAAGAACAGCCCTTGTATCTGTCACAGCAGGGCTAATATGGGGAGGAGATGGGACCTCTCAGCACTGTGACTGACACCTGTCACGTGCACTTGTGGGACTGTGGCTGAAAGACAAGACTGTTGGCACCAAAACGGAATCTTACCACTCCTTGGAGAAAGAATTAAAAACCAGGCATGCTGCCGAAATTAACCGTGGAGGGGGTATAAAATGGATCCTCTGATTAAATTAATGGAGTCCAATTTCATTGACCTTTGACATGAAGGAGCATGACTATCTGCAAATCAGTTCACATTTCTTGGCACATACGTGTGTGCGTGTGTGCGCATGTGTGCGTGTGTGTGCATGTGTGTGTGTGCACATGTGTGTGAGTGCGTGTGTGTGGACAGATGTATATATACTGTGTCTTCTTCAGCTGTCCTCTACCTTATTGTTTGAGTCAGGGTCTCTCAATGAACCTGGAGTCTGTTTGGATAGAATCCCTGGCTAACGAGCCCCAGAACCTTCCGTCTCTGACACCCCAGCGCTGGGATTACATGCAAGCATAGCTGTTGATTACATTGTTAGAAATTGAGTTCGGGTCTTCATATTTTTACAGCCTGAGTCCTATAAAACTTTAAAACTACCCGAGTGTTCTGTTCCCTTCTAGTTCCAGGCTTCTTATTCAGAACGGTTAAGAGCACAGAAAGCCGTGCTCCCTTGGGGTCTGCAGGCTCATTTCCACCATTCTGTGTGAGAATCAAAGTAAAGGTTCCCTTATGAAATTGTAGGGTTTGAGGTTCCTGGAAGAAGCATTCACCAGAGCTGCAGAGTTGGGTGTGGAAGGTGGGTTTGGGTTTCTGAAGGGGCAGAACTGAGAAATGCGCGCCCAGATTCTCAGAACGGCTCCGTCTCCCGTCAGAATCGTGGGACTGGCAAGGGCAGCACCCAAACCTGACACTCTGTGGAGAGCCTTTGTGTAGCATAAAGGAGGAACCTCTGGGATCCAAGGCCGGGCACTAAAGAAGGACCTAACTTCCTTTGGTATGCAGTTAGCTTATAACCATTTCTACTGTGAGCTGTGTCTTTGCTATATTTTAGCAAAGTGAGAACATTTTCATGTCTTTCAAAGAGAAGTATTTTGGGATTTTTACTCCAAAGGATCTGAATTTAACTTCTTTCTCCCCTCAGAGCATATGATTACCAATATCCTTTATTGTTTTGAATGCAAAAAAGGAAATTAAGTTGGTGTGGTTGGTGTCCTAGAGGGGTTTCTGGTGGCTGTGTGTGGTTGGTGTGCTGCCAAGCAGTGACAGTTCGCGGCTGGTTTCGCCGTCTGTAGCTGACCTTTAGGCAGGAATTATATGGGGTACAGATCCCAAGAAGAGCTGGACAGTCCAGTCTAATGTCCATCGCAGCCGTCAGGATCTGGGGAAAAGGAAACAATGCTATCCAGGCGGTGCCATCCTCCACCCTGCTGCCTACATCCCAAATCACACATTGTATGTGCCAGTCTGCTGCCGGAGAATAAGAAAAGCACAAGAGAAGAGGTTGAGAGGTGGAGAAGGAAGGACCCTTAGAATTCTGTTTAGATGGCTGGGCTGTATTGATCTTTTTGATGTGTATAAAAGAAAATCTATTCAGATAGCACTTGAGAAGCCTGGGAAAGAAGACTGCCTTCAGGGGGGAGCAGGCCTGTTGGTGTGTTCAGGACTACCGTGAAGGTATTCTGTAGTAAGAAAGAGAGTGGGGGTCTAACCCTGATTCTCGTGTGAGGAGAAATCGGTGGCCAAGAACAGGGTTGGCACTGAGGAGCCTGTGGTCTTGATGTAAGTCACGAACACAAAAGGACAGAAGCTTCAATCCGTGGATATTATTCTAGCGCCTTCACAGGCGCTTGGGATTTGTTGTCGTTGGAACTTTCTGGAGCTTTGTAAGGAATGTACATATTCCATGGAGAACTTGTTAAATTTAAGTGTCCATAGCCAGGCTTGGTGGCCTACATCTATACTCTTAGGGTAATGGAGTCTGGGATAAAAATGCCATGGGTTTGAGGTCGACCGGCTACCTACTGAGTACAAGCACAACAGACAATTTAGTGACACCCTGTCTCAAAAATAAAAAAAAAAAAAACACACAAAAAAGTAAATATAAATAAAGTGTTACTAGTAGCATGTTTTTCTTATGATTGAAATTAATAGCTGAACATATCAAAACCCTGTCTTAAAAAAACAAAATTTTAAGAATTTGTTAACCTGTGAAATGAGCCACCTGTGAACCCCTGCGGCAGGGAATAATGGCTGAAAGCAGACAGAAAAATTGCCTTACAGATCGGGAAGTTCCTGAGCAGACAGGATTTGACTGTAACTGGATTGAAAAACAATAAAACTCCAAGAGAGAGAAAAAAAGAAAAAGAAATTAATAGCTGAGAAATCAGATTTAAAAATCAGCACCTCCAATGTTTTGGTCTTGTGGAATTATTCTAAATGGTAGATAAGCTGCCATATTTAAGTCAAAATGCGTGTCTGACATGTATTGTTAGTTGTTATTTTTACGGATGCTATTATTCTTGGTCATTGTTCAGGTCTGTTCCATTGGCTGTAAGAAATGAATCGAGGAGGAAAATCCCACTCTCCAGCTCTGGGGTGGGGTGGAGGAGGAGATGCAGGGAACAGAGCCAGGGCACACTCCCCACCTGTCTGAGCGTCCCCAGACATGGCATTGTGCTCTGTGTCTCACTTTGTCGTTTCCTGTGGACCCACAGCCGAAAATAGAAACCTTGACAACTTTTTTTTTTTCCACCAAGAATCACTGTACCAATTCAGGCTTGTGTGACCTTAGGATGTTACATTTTGAGAGTAAATTATCTGGTACCCTTTGCCCAACTTCTTGTGGAAATAGAATCTCACCAAGAATCTCTGAACTAGAAGACTCGTTATAAACACAGTTACTGAAATAGCCATCCTAGCAAACCGTCAGAAATGATACATGACAGCTCCGTCTACGTGTAACCTCAAGAAAAACCCCAAACTGTGTGGCTTGTTCTGTAGAGAGGAAAGCCAATTGTAATTTTTCCAGTGCTAAATAAGCCTCAGAGAGGAGCTTGAGAAATGAAGTCTCCAAGAGCAGCTACCTGGAAAGTTCAGACACATTCCTGCCCTTGCCCCGCTCAGCACCCTTTCCTGGCCCCTGTCTGCTTCCTTTACCTCGCTGGCTGCTGAGAGAGATCCTGCATCCTTGGAGAAACAGAAGTGCCAAAGGATGGTCTTGGCTTAATTTACCTAAAAATGGCAACCACAGGAGGCTGCGCCCAGAGAGGATGTGTGTATTTGTACAACTGCTGTGAGAATCATAGGCCCAGATGCCCAAACACAAAAGCTAAGGACTGCCTCAGTAAAACATCCAGATACAAAGACAGGCGTACGCACACGTGTGCGTACACACACACATACACGCACACGCACACGCACACACACACACATGCACACACACCCCATACCGTTCCAGACTCTCCAGGCTGTCCCTAGCCTGGCTTCATTGCTAAACTCTGCTGTGGTCTCAGAAGGAAAGAATAAACTCGGCAGTTGTAAAAGATGGACCTATTGGGAACTTGTTAGCAGTAAACTTTCTTTGGTGACTTTACCCTGCTCGTTTTCTCTATCAAGGGCTTGGATAGCCAGTTCTGAGCTCATTTTCTCTAACCAACAAGCTCTTGGATAGCCAGTTCTGAGCAGGGATCACTTCCAGAGATTCTTACGAGCCAGAAAGAGGAGAAAGAGAGTATGAGGAAGAAACCTGCTTTTGAGTAAAGCTGTCACTTCCCTGCAGCTCAGAAACACTTGGTACATACACGACAGGCAGGGGCCACACATCTTCAGCCAGCAGACTCCAGGTGGACCAGTCTCTGCAGGATACTAGCCCTCTGGGTTTTACTGAAGAGGCCCTGGCTGGACCAAAGGTTCTCCCCAGTGAAGAGCCCTCATTCAAATGCAAATTTTAAGAGAGAAATCCTTTGAGGGAAGAAACAGATTAAAGGGAGTGAAAACTACATGAAAGGGGCTAGGGAAAATAAGGAGGAGGGAGATGCCAGAGGGATTATGTGGTTTAGTTCAACATCTTTTCTCAGCTTTGACTAAAGCGTGCAAGTCTGCATGGAGGATAATGTGGACCCTTTGTGTTCTCACAGGGGGCTTGTTAACCTTAGCTCCAGCCAGTCCCGTCCACAAAGCCGAAGCTCCTGCTTTGAACCCGCGTGGGGGGGGGGGGGGGGGGCATGTCAGAGGCAGGGTCCCCCTTAATCTCTGGCCCCCCTGGAGCCAGCATTCCTGCACTCTAATTTGTTTCCTGGGACAGAGGACAGTGAGCATGGGAGCAAATTCTTCGGTGTGTATGAGAGATCTTTGATCCACCCTAGAGGCATCCTTGTTCTTCAGGGACAAGGCAACTGTGAGATAGTTTGTGGGCTCATTGTGCCCCTCAGATTATATAAAGCAGGTAAATGTGAACTCACGTTATCACAGTGTGTAGGTTAATCGGGACAAATGGAAACGTTTACAGCTAACAATGCTAGGCCCTGTTCTGTTTATTATCTCACTTACTCCCTTCACTGTTCCCACAAAGTAGATATTATTCCCCTTTAAATGAGCAAAACAGATGTGCAGAGGAATGAAGGAAGCTGTTTCCACTTCCGAAGCTGCGGGTGCCAGAATGGGGTGTTGAAACCCACATGCCCTGGCTCCAAAGCCAGGCTCTTGGTGTCTTCACAGAGAGGAACACTGGGCTGTAGACGGTTGCTCTTAGACGTTCACCTCTCCTTTCCTGTTTCAGGTGTCTGACAGGAAGCAGCAACGGGAATTTCCTGCTTACGCTGAGACCGTTTTTAAAGCGGGCCGTTTTGGTCATCAGTTATGTAAGTCTATAATGTATACTTGGAATACAGCTAGTAAGAGTGTTTTCACTTAGTCCCAACTCAGAGGCTCCAGATTGCTTAATAAACTCACTATCAACACGTCTCTCAAGGAAGGTTTGTAGTTACTTTCGAGCAAAGGTGTGTGTGGAAGCATACATGGGAACCTGATGGCATAGCATGAACAGCACAGGGTTTTAAAGTTCCTTTCAAAGTGTTTTCAAAGTGGCCTGAATGTATCTGTTGTCTACTGCTGGACACAGTATCAGGCCCGGTATCCAGAGACATAGATACAGCTCCCTGATGCTTGTCCAGGCCCAGTTGAATGGTTCCCGTGCCGTGATTTGGGGCCAGGGTTACCCAGGCAAGCTTACCTAACAGCTGTAAGAGGAGGGAACAGCTGACTTCACTTCTCGATAGAGGATCAGAACGCTTGTACAAAGACGGAAGAGATGTGGGTGGGTATTTCATCTGGTCTTCTCCTTCCTCCAAGGTGACGGTCATTTTGTATTTCCGCCTGTGGATAATGGGAGGAACTATGCCCCTCTTCTCGGAGCAGGACAACCCCGCTTCGTTTTCACCTCACCTCCTTACAAGGTCAGTGGCTATCGCTTACAGAAACTTTATTTGGTACTTAGCAGTTTGGTTGGACATTTTTACTGCCCTAAATCATTTGTACAAAATAACTGGTCTCACTGCAATGAGTTCATACATATTGGGCCCTGTCCAGTAATATTAAATCTCAGGCCAGCTATGCATTTCGAGGAGAATAATGACCATGAACTAGCCAGTGTGAGGATAGGAAGGGAAACACTGTTCATCTCTTTGGAATTCTTTTCAACCTGTGTGACTGTCAGGGCAGGGTTGTGGCCCTGAGTCTCACTGACATGTATTTGTTTATTCGACAAGTATTTTATTAGCTACCCATTGTCTGTAATATACATACCTGCTAGGTAACCTTTAACACAAGCATCGCAGAGCAGAGCACAGAGACGGCTCGTCCTAAAATCCTGGGAGTCGCAGAACGACAAACGGACAGGAGCAATATCTGCAAAGATGGTGCTGATGGTGCCTCACACAACCTCAGAAGTCCTAGAGATGCTGAGTTAGGAGGCGGTGCTGATGGATGTTCCTGTGCACCGGGAAGATTGCTGTGTCGTACTGTTAAAGCTTTAAGATACCATCACATTGGCCAATTTTAATAGCTTGAGACCACAGTGTTTTAAACATTAAGATGTCATGTTCAACTGTTTTCATGGTCATCTGTGCTATAAATATCTTATAATGTTATATCATTTTAATGATAAATTCATGGTCATAATCTTTACTATTTTGGTGTATATATTTTTGTAATATATTATAAAACATGGTAATTTTTTTTCAGATGGGTCTCACTATATTGGTTGACCCTGAGCTCTAAATCCTCCTGCCTCAACCTCCTAAGGGCTAGGATGACAGACAAGTGACACCAACTTGACTTAGGATAAATCTTAGACTGAACAGGATGTATAACTGACTTATAGTTGGGCTTATTCGTATTTCTCAGAGATAACAGGATTTTGACCTTAGTTTTATGTCAAGCAGCAATCTTTGTCCTATCTGTTTAGTGTACGTGTTTTAATTAACATACTTCATTACTTGTTTTTTGCCTGTATGGTTTTTCTTTTGTTTTGTGAGATCTTTTCAGTTTTGAATTTTTACTTGTGTATTTTATCTCTTGGTGTTGAGGACCAGCTTGGCACGAGTCATGGTTCTTCTGAAACACACAGCCTGCCCCTTTTTTCTCATGTAGACTTTTAATTTTAACATTCAAAAAAGGTATCTGCCCATCTGACTGGCATTTTTATAATAAATACTCTGTCAAAATTGCTTTCATTACTTTGACACCTGTTTCTGTTCATGGTCTTGAATACTGCTTCCTAAATCTCTGATGTTAGCTTGCCTCTTAAGCAGTATAAGAACTTTGTAATGTTGTTAGTATTGTACATTTTCAAAATGCTGTCCAGTCTGTTGTAGGGAGGCCACTTGTTTCATTCCCAGCTGCTCAGCCCCGAAATAATCACACAGAAGCTGTATTAATTAAATCACTGCCTGGCCCATTAACTTGAGCTTTTTATTGGCTAACTCTTACGTATTAATTTAACCCATTTCTATTAATCTGTGTATCTCCATGAGTCTGTGACTTACTGACTTGTGACAGTTCTGGCATCTGTCTCTGGTGTGGCTACATGGCTTCTCTCTGACTCTGCCTCCTTTCTCCCAGCATGCTGTTTAGTTTTCCCCATCTAGCTAAGTTCTGCCCTATCAACAGGCCAAGGCAGTTTCTCTGTTCAGCAGTGATATTCACAGCATGCAGAGGGGAATCCCACATCACCAGTCTTCAGGTTACCATCCCAAATTCAGCTCTCTGGTAATGTTTCTGTCCTGATCCATCTCTCACTGGCATTCAGTCTCCGGGCTCTTTGTCTGGGTATTTCCAGATGTGACAGTTCATGGAGGAAGAGTTCTGGTCTGTGGCTTCTTCAGCAGCTATTTTCCACCTCTGAGAGAAAACAGGGCCTCAGGTCCTGTTTCTGCTTGGTGGATCCCACTGTCTTAGAATCATTATTGGCATGAAGAAACACCATGACCACAGCAGCTTTTATAAAGGAAAACATTTAACTGGGGCTTGCTTACAGGTTCAGAGGTTTAGTCTACTGTTGTTGTAGGAAGCATGGTGGCATGCAGGCAGACGTCGTGCTGGAGAAGTAGCTAAGAGTTCTACATCTGGATGGGCAGACAGCAGGAAGCAAGAGTGAGCCACTGGGCCCAGTTTGAGCTTCTGAAGCCTCAAAGCCTACCTCCAGAGACACATCCTCCAGCAAGGCCGCACCTCCTAATAGTGCCAAACTCCCTGGTGACTAAGCATTCAAATCTAGGAGTCTGCGGAGGCCGTTCTTATTCAAACCAACTGCCATACCCACCCTTCAGCTTTGGGATGATGCCCTTTAATGTTGGGATGATTTCTCTTCAGTTTTAGGGTGGTAATGTTTGTCTTTGGGGTATTTCCTACCAAGCTTTCTGTCTATGAACTGAGGCAACCACTCTCAGCTTCACAGTTAGATGTAGCCTACTCCAAGCGTTAAGCAAGAATAAAGAGATGAAACATATACTTCTTCCTGTTGTTCTGTTTGTCTTTTCCTTAAATTCTTTAAGGGAATGTTTCATTTATGCTTTAAGGGCCTCTATCATTTTTATAAAGTTATTTTTACATTCATTTTCTTGTGCCTTAGCTGTGTCGAAATGTTCAGGTCTTGATGCCGTATGATCGCTGGGTTCTGGTTGTGCTGTATTTCCTGTTCCGCTATTGTGTTCTTACCATGGCGTTTAGGCATCTGGATTTGGGGTGATTATTGGTCTAGGTGTTGCTTACTGCATATGTCTTTGTTGGATGGGTATTTTGTTCCTTTGTTTTCTCTTTCCTCTCTAGTCTTCTGGCCAAGGGTTCTGGTGACTGGCGAGTCTTGAGGTCCAGTAGGATGTCTCCATTGTGTTTTGGGGGCCTTGGGTCGCTAGATCCAGCCTGGCCTCTGATAAAGCTGAAGTCTTTGCCCGAAGATGTAGACCAGAATATGGAGCCCGGGGGAGGGGTGCTGTTCTTCTGACGGTGTGGACTGTATCTGGGCCTCTGGGGTCTGCTGGAGTTTGAGGAAGGGTTGGCTCGGGGAGGGTGATAAAGTGGGGAGAGTATTGGGGATCAGAATCCAGGGGGTAGCAACAGTTCAGCTGGTAGGAGGGTCACTCATCTGCTCATGGACTGGTGAGGTCTGCACCAGAGCAAAACAAATATTCCTAAGGGATTTTCAAAGACTTTCAAAGAGCACCTAAGCCAAGATGGAGAGATGAACAGGCACTAATATGCGTCGGAGAGCGGACATGCTGCTTCGGCTCGCCAGCCGAGGATGTCCTCACATCCTATGCCTCCAGGAAACCCCAGCATCTGCCTGGTTCAGGATCCTCGATCTCTGATCATGGCCTTCCTAGCTGTACCATCCCAGCCACCAAACTGGTGAGGTTATGTTTCTCTTCTGGCTGGTGGCTAATGACAACATCTGTGGTGGAATCCCTGGCAAACTTAGGGCTTTGGTCAAATGTTGCCAGGTCTCACCAGTTACAAAGCACAGATCATTTTTCAGTGAGGTCTGATAGTTCATCCCCCAGCAGCATTTTCCATCTAACGCAGGAAAGACCAGCATATCTCAGTAACCGTACCTTTACCTCTTCTTCCTTCTTTCAGAGTTTTAAACCAGGTCTCACTCTGTCGCCCAGGATAGATTCAAGCCCATAACAATCCTTCTGCCTCAGTCTCCCTTGTACTGGATTACAAGCATGCACCACCACGCCTAGGTATATTCTTCTTTATTTCAAAGACTGTACTCCTGTTGTCAGGTTTCAGCCTTCAGATATGCATGTCCTGGGGGTGTTGCAGGGACAGGTGACACCAGGGGGCCACGCTTCTCTAAGGAGACCTGTTCCTTCCTCCACCACACCACCCGGGAGCACACACACCATTCCTGGTGCGTTGAAGCTTCTCCAGCGAACTTCCTTGGTTTGTTTCCTGCTTTTGCTAAGCTGGCTCCTGATCACCTGACTCAGCTGTGCTCTGGCTGCCTCTGTGAAGTCTGTCTCTACTGGTTCCAAATTTGTCACTGGCTCTGTCTGCCTGCCTCACTGAAGAATCTGTCGGCATTCGTCTGCTGGGACTGACAGAAGAGTGTGCTTCATACTGTGTGACTAGAGTCGCAGACACGGAAGTCCCAAATCAAGGTGCTGTCAGAGTGGTGTGTGGTGGGACTGAGATGCCTGTTCCTGCGCTGCAGACAGACACTTACTCACTGTGTCATTCTTTCCAAGTTCCAAGTTCCCGTGTGTGCACCTGTGCATGTGGTGGCCTGAGGGACCTTCAGGTGTCTTTCTTCAGGTGCTATCTAACTTGTTTTCTTGAGGCAAGGCCTCTCACTGGCTTGTTTTGGACCCAGTAGGCTAGGCTAGGCTGACTGGCAAGCAGCCCCCAAGAGTCTACCTGTCTCTGCCTCTCTGGCACTAGGATTACAAGTGTGCCACCCACCTGCCCCTCTCCCACTGCCCCCCAGTCTCTGAGGATCTGACACAGGTATTCCTGCTTGCATGGCCAGTATTTTACTGGCTCTCTCTCTCCCCAGCCCTGATGTCGATTTTTTCAAGGAACCACTCCTGATGAATTAAGAGTTTCTCCCATGTGAGTTACTTTTCTTGACTTTGAGACCAAAAATCCTGACAGAAACAGCTTAAGGGAAGAAAGGGTTATCTCAGCTCACACTTTCAGAGGAAGACTTGGTGGGACAGCTAATCCGTGGCTCTGGGAGCAAGTGGTAGCTGACTGTTCTAGGGAGAGTTCTGTTCTGGGAGCAGAGGAAGAGACCAGAAACCCGGCCAGGCTGTGCCCCACCTCTTTGGGATTCCACAGCTTCCTAAAACAGCACTGGTGGCTGGGAACCAAGCACGCAAATGTGAGAGACTGTGGCCCTGTGACCTCACGTGACCTCGCCCTCCAGTAAGCTTGTCTCCAGTAGCTGCTC